CGAGAGACAGAACATATGGCGGGGAGGGGCATTGGGCCGTATTAAGTGGGGATTTGTTTTCTGGTTTACCTGGCGGTGTGGTGTGGCAGGACAGCCCACGGGGCAGGGCCCTGCCGGGCTGGGGGAACCGCCTGCCCTGGGATTTGTGGGGCTGGGGATGGGTGTGGCTCCCACCTCGCCCTGAGAAGAGGGAGAGCACCGCGCTGGCCCCGCGCACGGGGACAGGACCTGGTGCAGGAACCGCGCTGCGGGAGCTCGGAGTCCCTGCTCCTGGAGTCCCACAGGCAGTGGGGCAGGGCGGGAGGTGGGGGACCTTCCCAGGACCGTCAAGGAAGGCCCCCTGGGGGGCAGTGTTTGCACTGAGCTTTGCTGGAACTGAGGGAGCCAGCTGGGCAGAGAGGGGTCAAGGGAGGGACGTTCCAGATGGCGGGGGGAACAGCCGGGGCAGAGGTCGGGTGGGAAATCGAGGCACGTTCACAGGACAGAGAGGAAACCAGGGGAGGAGTCTGGGTTTTATCCCGGGGGCACTGGGGAGCCATGGGAGGGCTCTGAGCAGGGGAGAGCCTGTGTCTGATTTGGTTTTACAAAGACGGCATTGGCTTCTGTGCACGGGGGGCTGGAAGAACCAGGAGGGAACTGAGTGGGGTTTCTGGAGGGATCTGGAAGAACTGACCTGACGAGGCAGCCTCCTCCCTGGCCTCTGCCTCCTGGCTTACGGCTCCCAGTCCAGCCCTCCTCTGATCCCCCCCGCGTCTCCCATGTGGCCTTCAGGGCCCAAGACCTGCTCCCGCCCCCGTCCCTGCCGCTGCACACGGCGGCCCCTCTGAGCTGCTCGGAGGGCACCTGAGCCGGGCCTGCTCTCTGTCCCTCTCCCTGCTCCGCCATGCAGGCCCCGCCGCGCCCCCAGCCCTTGGCCGCCGCCCTGCTCCTTCCTGAGCCCCGGTCGCCCCTCCCGTTTCTCGCACAGCCTTGTTCACGGAGACGCCCCACGACGTGACGGCGCGGACGGGCGAGGACGTGGAGATGGCCTGCTCCTTCCGCGGCAGCGGCTCCCCCTCCTACTCGCTGGAGATCCAGTGGTGGTACGTGCGCAGCCACAGGGACTGGACCGACAAGCAGGCGTGGGCCTCCGGCCAGGTAACAGCCGCGGGGAGACGCCGGGGTTGGGCTGGGGAGTCCCGGTCCCCACGGTGGATGCCACTGCGCCCCGGCTCCTCTGGGGGATGCAGGCTGCAGCTCCTTGTCCTCCGCGCACAGCCGTCTCCCTCCTCTCTCCCTCCTGCGGTGGCGATTTTGGTGATGACGGTGGCTGACACTACTGTCCCCAGAATGGACGTTTATTTGGGGCGGGGGTGGGAGACAGCGCTAGGCCGAGCACCCCAGAGGGCCACAGCAAGAAGGGCCCGCCGAAGAGCACAAAGGCCCTCCCTTCAGTGTACAGGTGGGGAAACTGAGGCCAGGGGGACAAGCTGGCTCCAGGCTGTGGGGTAAGGTGGGTCTCGTGACTCGCTTTCCACCGTTTCTCCAGGCCTCACGGGCAGTCATTTCGTAAGGGGCTGTGCGAACACGGCGGCATCGTTGCTGAGTTCATTCGCGAGCACGCGCGGGTGTGCCGGCGGCTCCCCGCACTCCCCGTGACCGCGCACGCGCTCACCTCGCCGCACGCACGTGCTCTCGCGGGCACCTGAAGAGCAGATGCTGCGGGTGCCCCGCCACATGCCAGGCGCGCGCCGGCCCCGCTGCCAACTGCCAGCCCCGGTGACTGTGCCTGCGGGCTTCCTCTGGACCGCAGAGCCTGCTGGCCAGCGTGGCAGGCGGGAGGAGCCCCGCCCAGCAGCTGACAAGAGCTAGGGGACAAAGGCCCGATGTCCCCAGCGCTCAGCTGGGCGGACTGACGTGCGTTCTGCGCTGCCCCGGTGATCATAAAAGAGCCTCTTAAACAAGCACATACCACACTGTCTTGCTCTAGGGGGTGTCGACTCCCCGGCCCTTCTCCAGCCTGCCACACTCAGGTTTAGCGGGGCCTTAGGCGAAGAGTTGTAGGTATGTGCAGCTCGAAGCCTCCCGGCTCCCATGACCGCAGGTGTATGGGGGAGGATATGTGTGCAGGGCCCCGACAGCATCTGCTGCAAACGCACGTTCACGTGCGAGACACACTTGAGAGTATAAACACACTCACAGACAGATTCAAGGAGGGGTGCAGACGCTCCTACCGACACACCACGCTGACGCTTAGATTTCTACCTGTTCACACGTAGACATCCCGTATACACAAATCACCCCAGGAACCTAAATGCACAGCACGTGCAGTTTTGCATGCATCTTCTTTATCTTTTGCTCTGACCACCCCCTCCATGCCCTGAGTGGACACACAGAGCTGAGGGACCCGACTCCAGACCCCGGGGCCCCTGAGCACCATCTGCTACAGCTGGAATCTTAGCTGTCGTCTGTACCCCCCGTGGGTCTCCCGCCACCCCGTGCTAACGCCTTGTCTCTGCTCTCTCTGCCCCTCCCCACTCCAACAGCTAAAAGCATCTCAGCAGGAAGACACAGGGAAGGACGCGACCAAAATAAGTGTGAGTTTTGAAAATGATTTCTTGCAAGGGCTCTAATGGAGGGCACAGCTGTGACTTTAAAACAATTTTGGGGGGTCCAGTTCAGCAGGGAGCTTGGGAAAGAAGATGGAAGAGAAGAAAAAGAGAAGGGAAAAAGATGGCCTTGCTCTGGTTTTTAAAAGCCAGAGATTTTTCAAGTTCGTTGAATAACGGGCACAAAAAATGACAGGGGAGAGATGTATTCTCTCCTGTCGGGGCCAAGGCTGTGTGTGTCCCGATGTTTCGTGCCTGTCTCAGCAGCATTTTTTGTTTGGGGAAACAACATGTCTAATGAGATTGAGCCGGCTTTTTTTTGGCCCATCATGGCTGACGGCTGCAGCATCTCATGGTCACCCGGTGATCTGGCCCTGGGGACAGGGCAGGGGCTCTACAGCCGAAGGGCAACCGAGCTGGCCAGGCCTTCTTATGCACTGACTGATTGTATCATAGCCACACTCCCTAGGCAGGACCAAGCATTCACCCATTTTACGGGTGGGGCAACTGAGGCTCAGAGGGGTCAAGGACTTGCTGGAGGTCACACCAAAAGTGATTGGTGTTTCTGAGCTGCTTGGCTTCAGAGCTGTGCGGAGCCCAGTGTGTCTGGGGGCCCAGGAGAGCTCAGGGAGTGATGGTTTTGTGAAAGGGGGGGCACCCAAAGCCGGTCCTGGAAGAGGCAGACAGGATTGAGAAAGGAGGTGAGAACACGGAATAGAGGAGACTCGCCTGGACACGCGTGTGGCCATGGAACCAGGTGGGGCAGGAGGTCAGCCTGCCAGGAGGCTAGAAGTCTGCCAGCAACACGCTCAGAAAATGCAGGTGCCCGTGGGGGTCTGGATGTGCATGTGTGCCGGGGCGGTGCCCTCTCCAAATTCACTTTTTTATGCGTGGTTCTTCCACAACTTTTCAAGGACTTGTGAGGGAGCTCAGGACCCCAGGGCAGATTGAACACAGATGAGCAGAGGAGCCACACCCTCAAACCAGAGGCAGTGGTGTAGACAGTGGGCACCAGGGGACGCAGGGTGTGACCGGTCAGGCATCAAAGTGGCAGCGTGGAGGCAGGGAGGCCGGGGGGAGGCTCTTGCAGCCGCTCATGCAGGAGACAGGCAGACGGGAGAGGAGGGACCTTCAGAGCATCATTTGTGCCGTCTTGCCTGGGGCACAGTTGGGGCCTGGAAATTCAAGCCATTTCCAGCTTAGGGCAGCTGTGGGTCCACCCCCACCCCCTGCGAGGGGCACATCCGTATCTAATGCCCCATTTCTTGCCCAAACACCCATCAGTTAAGCCCGGGCAGGCGCGATCTGTGTGTGTATTAACACACCCCGTCCATGGCAACTCTCCTGTGATTTTGTTTGGGGTTTCAGGAGTGGCGGAGGTGAAGGGGAGAATGATCTAATTGAGTTAGAGGATTGGAATTCAAGGCTGCTGGGTCCCACGTGAGGGGAATGCAACGATGCTAATTAGTTAAATAAAATAAACGTGCTCAGCGTGATTGTGCAATCGCCCCCACTCGCCCACCCCCAGCCCCTGCAATTCCTGCACCAGCTGGGGCTCTGCGGGTCTGGGTAGGAAACTAACAAGCAGGCATGGGCTGGGCCCCTCATGCAGACGGCACCGCTCAAACCACTGAAGAACTGGGTGCAGGCACCTGTATGCAGATGCACTCCCTGGGCTCCTGCAGTCTGTGGAGGCCGCTCAAACTTTTCTCTTGGTCTTCAAGGCTCTGCCCAATTGCTCTGCCCACGTGCTGGGCTCAGCTCACTTTGCTTGAGCTCACTCCCCTCCCATCACAGCCCTGGCTGCCTTCCTCCCTCCAGGACTTTGCCCTGTCCATCCCCCCAGCCTAGAAAGCTGTTCCTCTCTCTTCCCTCCAAGCACAGCTCAGGGAAGCCTCCTCTGACCCAGTGACCCAGCCGCGTGCCTCACTTTCCTCCGCCGGCCGCATCCCTGTTGTCATTATGCCTTTGAGTTATTTGCTTCACGACTGTCTCCTCTAGAGACGGCAGGGCCAGGACGGTGCCTGCCTGACTCACTGTGGCCTCTCCAGGGCTCAGCACAGAGCCTGGCACGGCATAGTAGGTGCCCAGTACATACTTATTGAATAAGCATCACACGCACAAATGCAACGCCCCGGCCCATGTGTGTGTAAACCCATACATGGATTTTTGTACACGTACATGCCACCATGACGTGGATTCCATGCCTGTACACGTGTGTACGGGCGATGTGGGTGCAGGAGCTCACGTGGGGACAGTGGGGCCCTGGGAAGCCCCAGACCCTTTGTCTACAGGTGGGTGACTGTAGTGAACCAGGCAGGGATCCAGCCCCAATATTCCCGTGTCTGCTAAAAATTCCAGTTTTCATGGAATAGCTCCTGACTTTTAACTGTAGGGACCCAATTGGATCTTTTGAAAAACACTGTGTGAGCCAAGCAGTGTGGCCTGTAGTCCATGGGGTTTCAGGTCCCAGGAGAAGGAAGTGCTCTCAGCTTTGAGGGGCTCCGTGACCCTGTCGGGGTGGCCAGGTTGACCTTGGGTAGGTTCAGAGGCAGCTGTGCTGACAGCTGGGTGGGGACTGTGAAGACACAGTGGGGCCAGCACTTAGAATCCTGGGACCTGAGTCCTGGTGGCGGCTCTGCCACTTCCCTGCATCTCCCCATTAGCTGTCATCCAAGGTGTATATGAAAACACGTTGGAAACTGTAAAGTGCCATGGTTTCGGCCGTGTGAATGACAGTGGTTCCTAGGGTGGAAATGTATTAGTGTGAACTCGTGATTCATAAGACTTCCATTCCTAGCAGGAGGGCAGGAAATGAAACGAGCTCAGAATCTCATAGGGAGATGGTTTATGTGGTAGGACAGGCGTCTGTGATAAAATAATAGTAATAATAATAATATAGCTGCTAACATTTATTGAGTCCTTCCCATATGTTAGGAACCATCATGAGCACTTTACATGAATTATCTGCTTTAACTGGGGCCTGGGGAAGGACCCCTGGCCTGCAGATGTCTCCCTTGGTGGCTGGCATATGCTGAGGGTTCCATTGCAGGGCCTCTTTCCTGTGGCTCAAGCAAACGTTTCTGCTTATCGGCCATTTTCAAGTTCTGGAAGTTTTTCTTTTTATCTAACTAAAGTCCTTTGTGCTAGAATTGAGGTTAATTTCTCCTTCACCAGTTTTGCAAGTAGAGATGGTCCCCAACTTCCTAATTTTAAGACAAGGTGAAGTTCTGCACACATAGCTCCCTTCCCAGGGGACGTCATTACTGTGGTTGGCGGCCGGGTTAAACGGAAGATGTCTCTGGGAAGGCCACAGTCACACATACACCGGGAGCTCCCAGTCCAGCATGCGAGATGGGTGTTAGCCCAATAATCATGCATGATAAAAAGCAAAATTACAACTCTGACCTTCCAAATGAGAGAGGACCTGACCTAGCCTGGGGGCCGGGAGGGCTTCCTGGAGGAGGTGCTATTTAAAGTGAGCTCTGAAGTGTGGTGGAGTTGACGAGGAGTAGGGGACTTGGCCGGGTGTGTGTGTTGGAGGAACTGCTGGGGGCCAGCGTGGCTGTCTGCCACCGTCGGGGACCGTCGGAGGGTTTAAGTTGGAGGCATTTCAGAAAGAGGAGTCTGGCTGTCACGGAAGAGAGGCTGGAAGGAGCCAGAGTGGCTCTGGGGAGACCGGGGAGGAGGCTGGGGTGATGGCCCGGATGAGAGAAGCCAGGACCTGGCCTTGGCCAGTGCTGGCGGATGCAGATTCTGGAAAGGAGGGGAAAAGGTCGATGAAGTTTAGAGGGAAGACCAGTGGGATTCAGGGATGGGGTGTGCAGAGAGTGGAAGGGACACGGGGATGGTGACTTGCTAGGGTGCGGCAGAGTTGGGTTCTGAACATGCTGAGGTTCGGGCGAGGCAGCGGCTGGAGCTGATGGAGGCTCAGAGCAGGGCCCGGCCTGGGGCAGGGGCCATCTGACCCCTATTCCCCAGCCCGGCACCTTCCCTGGGGCCACCACCTCAGCCAGGAGGCCACATGTGGGCACCAGTTGGCACCACCCATTCTTCCTGGCATGGCTGGCAGGGAAGATCCCAGCCTGCCCGCCGTGAGCTGGCCCAGGGGTGTCCGTGCCATGCCGGAAAGGCCTGGGCCATGGGCGAGCAGGGAGGAGGCTGAACTTGGCCATGGCGAGGACCCGGCCTTGTCTCTTTCAGCGTAATTAGGTGCTTAATTGCACTGCTAGGGCCTGTCGATGCCTGTGCGGAGGTGATTATGATTTACAGCCGGGCTGCCGTGGCCACGTGTGGGGGTCTCCGGTCGCACGGGAAGGCTGGGCCCCTGGGCTTTCTGTACATGTGTGAATGACGACATCACACAGGCTGTTCCTGCCACCCCCAAGAAGCTAGGGTGGGATGTTGGGCCCCTCCTAGGGATAGGCCTCTGATGAGGTTTTGGGCTGAGCCGAGATATGGAGGGTTGGGGACCTGGGAACAAGGTGAGAAGCCAGACCTATAGGTAACTGTTCATAGGAGGCCCCCCAGAGATGTGGTTAAGGTCTGGTCTCTGTCACCAGCTGGGTGGCCTTGGGAAAATCACTGCACCTCTCTGAGCCTCAGTTTCCCCAGCCATACAATGGGTATCTTAGCAGATACCTACTACATCATGGGGTTATTGTGAGGTTTAGATAAGATTGATGGGCTGGACGTGTGGTGGCTCATGCTTGTAATTCCAGCACTTTGGGAGCCCGAGGTGGGAGGATCGCTTGAAGCCAGAAGTTCAAAAACAGCCTGGGCAACATAGCCAGACCCCATCTCTACAAAAAATAAAAAAATCAGCCAGGAGCGGTGTTGCATGCCTGTAGTTCCAGCTACTTCTGAGGCCGAGGAAGGAGGATCCCTTAAGCCTGGAGCTATGATAGCGCCACTGCACTCCAGCCTGGGCAACAGAGTGAGACCCTGTCTCTTTAAAAAAAAAATAATACTAATAAGATTGATGAAGCTTTAGCATATTATCTCACAGTGACTGAGTGCTCCATAAACATTAGCTACTAGCACTCATTGCTGCTGTTATGGTTTTCGTTAAAAGCATTGTTATTTGCCTTTTCCAGATTGTGTGTAGAGATATAGATCCCTGGAAGTGGGAGGGAGTAGCGTCTGATGTGTGTCCTCACCCTTTGTCCTGCAGGAGGCTGGCGCACTGAGCTGCTGGGGTAGGGGTGCGAGGTCTGGGTTCTCCATTAGACCTGCAGCCGTCGGGCAGGGCTGGGGTCTGGCTGGCTCACAGGTGTATCCCCGGCGCCCAGCTCAGAGGAGGCACTTGCTGAATGCTTGCTGAATGCATGGATGATTCTAGCCCAAGGAAACTGAGGCCAGGGTGCTGGTGACTTGTCAGGGTCAGAGCCTAGCGTCCCACCACCCCCTGCAGTGCTCCCTGTCCTCCTCCATTCTGTGAGGGGAAGAGGCCACATCTGTCTGCTGGCAGAGGAGGTGACAGAGTGGGAAGGAGCTGGCTGCTCTTGGGGAACCGTCCAGGCCTTAGTGGTCCCGTCTGGCGGATGGGAGGGGCTTGGGGGGAGGGGTGGGCTGCACTCGGTGCTCCCTCCCTAGGTGCATGTGCTCCCAGAGCTCTGCATCATTACGCCATTAGCGCCTTGTAGGGTTGACAAATGAAGGATAATTAATATCCGTGAGGGAAACAGATGTTGAGGTAATTCGCTCCCGCTGCGCATTTGCAACAGCCTCTCCTAACTCGCCCGAGAGCGCGGCAGGACCACGGGGCCTCTGTGTGCCCTTGGTCGGACGTGATGGAGCCAGCAGGACAGGGTGGGCTCCAGCTGGGCCTGGCACTGGGCACGGGACGCCCCCACACCAACAGGGGCAGCTGGAGGAGTCCCCCGCTGCTTGCTATTGGGAAGTTCAGCCTGTGTCCCACCTCGGTGCCTCCTGCTGAACTGCCGGCCCATGCTTTCCTGCTTTACGGGGGACGGTGACGGTGACCAGCTGGGAAGCCCAGCGTACGGCAGGATGGGCCAGGCTCCCTGCTGCTGCCCGCCCCACCCCCCTCCCTTCTGGAGCCCTGCCAGCTCTGGGTGGCCCTCTGTGAGCCTGTCTCACCACTGGGAGGGTGAGAGTGCCTGGAGTCAAGCCTGGGGTCAGTTCCCAGTTCTGCCACTCCCTGGCTCAGACCTCTGGGCGAGTCACTTCTCCTTTTGGAGCCTCAGTTTCACCATCTGCGAAGGGGGTATACTCCTGTAGGTGACTTACAATTAGGAAGCATGGCATCTGGGGACCACTTCAGTTGGAGAAAGAAGGTAATGGGGTGAGGCCATTCATTCAACAAATGTTTACTATTATTTACTGTGCTGGGCTCTGTGACGGCCACTCACATGAACAAAACAGATATTGTCTCTGCCCTCATGGAGGGTATGGTTTAGCCAGGGAGAGAAACCAAAATCAAGTTAACAGACAGATAAACTAAATAATTCAAAATGAGACGACGGCTGTGCAGGGAATAGGGGTGGCAACAGGGGAGTCGAATTCTTGGAGGAGGTGCCGCTTGGAATAAACGGGAGTCAAGTGAAGACAGGCAGGGAGCAGCGCCCGGGCAGAGAGGCCAGCGCATGCAAAGGCCAGAGTTTCACATTCAGGAGTTGATGAACAGAGGGAGGCCAGAGCAGATGAGCAAGATGATGGGAAGTCACACATGTGAGTGCCGGGACGGGCTCAGAAACATCTGCAGGCTGAGTGCACCCGCTCAGAGACCACCCTCTTTCTCATCCTGCCAGCCTCACTGCAGGGGTGGCCAGCAGGGGCATCCCACCTGGGGCAAGAAGCTGGGCTTCCGCCTCCAGGAATCGGGGCTTGGCAGGAACAGGCCAGCTTCTTGTCCCTCCAGAAGAAAGGGACCAGCAGGGCTCAGCTCTGGGGCCACAGGTCTGAGGCCCTCTCACTCGGGCCTGGTGAGCCTGCGATACCAGCAGGTGGTAAGATCAGGGAACAAAGCCATTTGGGCAGGCGGTCACCAGCTGGCAGCTGGGGACTGATCACCGCTGTTCTGTCCAGGTGGTTCGGGGGCTGCAGGACGTGCAGCTGGGCTTTCTTGGCTCTCAGAAAGAAGGGACCGGGGAAGGATGGAAGCCCCCTCCCACCACCACTGCCTCACTCCATAGGCCCAGCTCCCTCCCTTTTAAAAAAAACTTTCCGTTTTGAATTATAGTCTCATCAGAAGTTGCAAAAATAGGTCACTGAGTCACCTATTCCCTTTACCCAGTGTCCCCACTGGTGTATCTTATTTAACTATCCAACTGTCTTCTCTGTTTCCATTGAAAGAAGTTCACAGCGGCTTTACAGTCAGGGCAGATTTATTCATAAGAGCTTTAATCTGGAAACCACAGAAATGTCCATCGACAGGTGAGTAGATAAGCAAATTGTGGTGTATTCGTGTGATGGAATACTACACAGCAAGGAAAAAGAACAAATGGGTACAGGCAGCAACACGGAGGACTCTCACTGACACTATGCAAGCAGCCACGCACAGAAAAGAAGCCACGCATGTAGAGTTCCAAAACGAGAGAAAGCTGGGGACAAAGTCCGAATGTGGTTAACCCCAGTGGGGGTAGTGTTGGTGGGTATGGGGCCAAGGAGGCTTATCAACGTTCCACGCCTCGCTCTGGGTGGTGGTCACACAGGTGTACGCACGAGCAAAGGTTCATCGGGCTGTGTGCACTTGACCGTATATAAGTTAAACTTCCTTTTTAAAATAAAAAATTTTAAACCCAGTCAAATAAAACAAACAAAAAGCCAAAGTACAAAGACAAACATAACAAACACTCCTGCTCCCCCCAGCTGGAGTGAACAGTTATTAGCAATATATGTAATCAGCCTTTTTTTTTTTTTTTAGGAAATATAACTTTCAGACTAAGCAAAGACTTCACTTTTCTACCCCAGGTCCTCTCCCCTCCCCCAGAGACAACCGCTGTGTTCCCTCCCGTCTATTTTAATTTTGTGCACGGAAGACCCCAAACCAGTCTAGAGTATTTCTGTGTGTTTGTTTACATAAATGGCCTCACACTGGGGCAGTTTCGCAGTGAGGTCTCTTCCCTGCCCGCCACTGAGCTCTGCGGTGCCCAGTTCTGGCTCCACCCTTCTGACGGCTCTGCCGTCCTCCAGGTGATGAACCAGCCACTGTTTATTTGCCCATTTGATGGACATTTAAGTTGCTTCTACTTTTTTGCTGTTTAACTCACTCTCGTGCAAACCCGGGCGTGCCCTTGCAGGAGTGTCTCCGGGACCTCGGCCTCAGGATGCAATCCTGGGACACCCCGCCCCTGTCCCCCACCTTCCCGCCTCGCCCCGCCCCCTGCTCGCGCCCTTGACCGCCCGCCCCCCGACCTGACGGACAGACGGGTCATGGTGTCTCTGTCGCCTCCAGGTGGTCAAGGTGGTGGGCAGCAACATCTCCCACAAGTTGCGCTTGTCCCGGGTGAAGCCCACGGACGAAGGCACCTACGAGTGCCGCGTCATCGACTTCAGCGACGGCAAGGCCCGGCACCACAAGGTCAAGGCCTACCTGCGGGTGCAGCCGGGAGAGAACTCCGTCCTGCACCTGCCCGAAGCCCCTCCCGCCGCCCCCGCCCCGCCCCCGCCCAAGCCGGGCAAGGAGCTGAGGAGGCGCTCGGTGGACCAGGAGGCCTGCAGCCTCTAGACTGATGCCCGCCCGCGCACGCTGTACAGAGAGCATGAGGAGCCGCTGGCCCGCCGGGGACCGGACTGCCTGCGTCCAGCCGCCTTCCCGCCCCCGGGCCGCCTGTGGCCACCGCGCCGGCCCTCTGCCCGCCACCCCTTGCTCAGCATGTAAGCCCCCACCCGCCCCTTTGAGACCCCTGTGGTTACCTGGCTCGGAGAAGGTGGCCCTGCGCGCCAAGGGGACGACCGCCCTGAAGGCCGGGGCGAGGGCCGTATCGGGGCCCAGGCCGACCCCCTTCTGTCACCAGCTTCCGTGGAGTCCAGTGTTTTGCTTTGCTTGCTTGTCCCCACCCTGTCCCGAGCCGGGGCCTCCCTGCCTTACCTCTCTCCTTCCTACCGGCCCCCCTTGGACCTGGGGGTGTGGACAGCGGCCCCTCCCAGAATGGACTTGAGTCTTCTGAGTGGAACTAGGGCCTTTCCCTTGGCGAAGGGCTGGGGTGCGAAGCTCCCAGGAGGCCTTTCTGGGGCGCAGCCGGCAGCAGGTGGCTCACAGGAGCCGTGGGAGGAGAGGATGCCCCCCTGCTCCCGTGGGGCCCTCCTGCTCAGCCTTCTTACACCTAAGGGCAGCTCCCATCTGACCAGCCAGGGACGCGGAGGACGGGGAAGCTCCGGCCCGGCACACAGCACGTCGGAGGGGCGGCCCTGCCCCTCTGCCCCGCGGCCCCATGCAGAGTTTGCACCAGCAGGATCCCTTCAAGGGTTTTCAAGGCTCTCCCAGGAGCCCCCCTCTGCCAGCTCCCAGTGTCTCAGCCCCCTTTTGGGGCCCATGCCAAGTCCACCCAAGGGCCTGGGGCTGTTGGGAGCTGCGGGCCCCCCTGTACCGACTCCCTCGCAATTCCTGATCAGGGGTACCCCCACCCCCTGGTGATTTGTAAATATTTCTATTGCACCCAACACCCCCTCACAGTGGCTCCAACCCTTGGCCACCCCTCAGCGATGGAGTGGGGGAGGTGGGAGGGGCCGAGGGTTTTGCCTCGGGGTGTGGGGGTTGCCCTGTATACATGATCGAATCCATGACTACCAGCCAACCTGAATAAAGCGGTTTAAAAAAACCTCTGGGCAGTGTCTTTCTGTGCCTAGGAGTGGGGCGGCGGGAGGAGGGGAGGTGGCCAGCCCACACCAAGCCTCCCTGAGCAGCTGCTGCTCCTTCTCTGTCCCCCACCCCCCAGCAGTGCTGAGGACCAGAGCTGGTGGGGGCACAGGGGCGGGCGACAAACAACCAGCCTTTGTTCAGCTCCAAGCTGGTTACCAGGCACTTGAATTATTCTTTGATGCTGAGATAACCACACCTACAGAAGAGTGCATAAAACATGATTACACAGTTTTGTGAGTAATGATGAAGCAACTGCTTGTGTAGCCACCACCTACCAAACGTGGCACCCCAGAGCAGAATACCCCCACCCACCATGGTGTCTTCCCACCCCTCCCCTCCCTCTCAGAGGCGGCCACCCATCCTGACTTTTGAGGTAAGCCTGTTCTTAATGTTCTCTTTATAGTCTTACCACCTATGTGTATGTCGTTTTAAACAATATATTTGAGTCTCGTCCATTTTTGCAACTGTATATGCATGGAGTCACACTGTATCTATTTTTCATGCAATATTACGTTTGTGAGATTAATCCATGTTGCTACATGTGTCTGTAATTTGTTCACTTTTATTGCTGCGTGATGTTTTACTATATGAATATCCTGCAACTTATCAATTTATTTATCCATTCTACTGTTGACGAGAATTTGGAGCGCGCTCCGACTGAACACCGTTGCCAGCAGCACTGCTATCAGCACACCGGTCCGTGTCTCTCTGCGCACATGAGCACGAGATTCTTGGGAGGGGATTTGTCAGGTTGGAGGTTTGGGCACTTTATTTTGGGATCTCATTTTCTCTTGTGGAGTAGCATCATCCCCTTATTATAGTTGGGGAAACAGGCTCAGAGTGGTTACATAACTTGCCCAAGGTCACGAGGTTGTTGAACTCAGACCTCCCTAAGCCCTGAAGCCTGTTTGTCCTGCTCTGCCAGGCTTGGACCCTCCCCCTCACCTCCTACCATGCCCTTGGCCCATCCCGGCACGGGGTCCTACGCGCCACGGTCCTGCGGAGAATCTGACTGAGGACATGTGGATGTGGGGCTCTCAGGCCAAGCCCTCATAGCCTGCGTCACCAGCTGGTCCCTCCTCTGTGCATCTGCAGACACTGTGGGCACCACTTGGGGTCTGGGGATTGTTGAAATGATGGTTGATGCTGGCCCTGCGTCCCTAGAGCCCAGGCCTTGTACACCACGGCAGCCCAGAAGCAGGCGCTGCATCCTTAGCTTTCAGACGAGGACACTGAGGTTCAGAGGAGGGTGGGTTGGAGGATGGATGGAGGGATGGATGGGGACATGAATACACCAGGCCGTGAAGTAGGCAGGGCTCTGGACCTGCCGCAGAATCCAGGTATGCTAGGGCTGGATGGTGTGTGACCTGTGGCCCTCTCAGTCCAGAGGCTCGCCTTTATTCAACGAATTATAGTCCAGTCCAGAAACGTCCAAGTGCAAGGCTGGCCCTGGACAGCCCAGGTCCCAGTGATAACAATACTCACCAGTCCTGAGCACCTACTATGTGCCAGGCACTAGTGAAGGGCTTTCCAGGGGAAGCTCTGAGATTCCACAGGGTCTCATCTAACCCTTCCAAGAGCCTGTGTCTTGTCTCTGGCCCCCTTCTCCCATAGAGGGGTCCCCCATCTCCTTAGAGAGGTTTTTCCTGTTCCACTGGGAAGACAGACGAGGGGAGAGGAGAGTGCCCGGGTTAGAATCCTGCCTTTGCCCGTCCTTGCTGCATGGCCTCTGGCCGGGCTCTTTGCCTGTCTGAGCCTCAGTTTCCTTTTCTGTATAGTGGGGATGTGCCCAGGAAATGCAAATCACAAGCACAATGAGATATCACTTCATGCACACTAGGAGGCTAGAAAAAGAAAGACGTAACCAGTGTTGGCATGGATGCGGAGAAACTAGAACCCTCGTACACTGCTGGTGGGAATGTAACATGATGCAGCTGCTTTGGAAAAGTCTGGCAGTTTCTCCCAACGGTAAACATAGAGTTACTGCACGACTCAGCAATTCCACTCCTAGGTCTCTACCCAAGAGAGCTGAAAACATACGTCCACGTGAAAACTTGTGCGTGAATGTTTACGGCAGCATCGTTCATGACAGCCCCAAAGTGGAAACAACCCAAATGCCCATCAGCTGCGGAACGGCTACATGACATGTGGTATACCCAGACAATGGGACATAATTTGGCAATAAGAAGGAGCGGCATTCTGGTGCGTGCCCCACCAGGGATGGGCCTTGAAAACATTGCGCTACGTGAAAGCAGCCAGACACGAAGAGCCACAGATGTCATGATTCCATTTATATGAAATGCCCAGAATAGGCGAATCCACAGGGACAGAAATCAGCCTGCCTGGGGCTGGGGCAGAGGACAATAGGAAGTGGTTGCGACTGGGTATGAGTTTCTTTTCAGGGCGATGGAAATGTTCTAAAACGGATTGTGGTGATGGTTGCGCAACTGTGTGAACATACAAAAAGCCACTGAATGCGTACTCTAAGTGGGTGCATAATTGTGTGATATGTGAGTGGTATCTCAATAAAGCTGTTAAAAGAAACGAGATGCTCCTAACTCCAACACAGTGCCCACATGCCCACACCAGGCACATGGGAGGCAGCAGGAAATTCTGGCCCCTGTTATAATAATAGTGCTGTGATTTTTACGTGAAGCCAGAGCCAGTTGTGCTTGACCTCAGGGCATAGCTGGTGGGGGTTGGGGGTGAGGGGCAGTAGAGAAACATCAGGCTGGGGGAGGGAAGTTCCTAAAGGGGGTACCTAGGTCCCGCTCAGAAGGCTCAGAAAACCCTCAGTGCACCCCCAGGGGAGTTGCAGGCCACTTTCTCCTTTGTGCACAGTGTAAGAATAGCATGGGGGAGGGGGGCTTCTTATAATTTGAAATGTCCAGACCTCCTCCTGGCCTTCAGACTCCCACCTGCCAGCGTCTATAGTCAGCTAGTGACCCCAAGATAATAATACATCTTGGCGTTGGTGATGGTCCACATGGGCTTTTTAAAATTTTATTTTATTATTTATTTATTTATTTTTAGAGAAACGATCTCACTCTGTCACCCAGGCTGGAGTGCAGTGGCACAATCATAGCTCACTGTAACCTCAAATTCCTGGCCTCAAGTGATCCTCCCACCTGGGCCTCCCAAAGTGCTGGCTGGGATTACAGGCGTGAGCCACCGTTTAATTGTTGTAGAATATCCCATTATCTAGATGAACGATGATTTATTTAGCCAGTCCCCAAATGATGAACTTTTAGGTTGTTTCCAATCTTGTGCTATTATAAGCAATGTTGCAGTGAAGTTTTCTAGGTTATAAATCTGTTCACACATATGCAAATGTATTTGTAGGATAAATATCTGGAAGTTAGAATTGCTGGGTCAAAGAGTTTATGCATTTTAAAGTTTGGTAAATACTGCCAAATTGCTCTCCACAGAAGTGGGGCCAGTTTACACTCCTACAAGCTGTGGATGAGAATGTGCACCTGGTCCCCGTCCCCCAGGCTGGCCAACCCCGGAATCAAACATGTTGATCTCTGTCAATCTATTGGTCAAATAGAATCTTACCATGGTTACAATGTGCATCTTTCTTATGAGGGAGACTGAGCATCTTTTTGCTTGTTTAAGAACCATTC